CTAATCCTCCTCCTCCTAATCCCCATCATCCTCCTCCTAATCCCCATCCTTCTAATCCTCCTCCTCCTAATCCCCATCCTTCTAATCCTCCTCCTCCTAATCCCCATCATCCTCCTCCTAATCCCCATCCTTCTAATCCTCCTCCTCCTAATCCCCATCCTTCTAATCCTCCTCCTCCTAATCCCCATCATCCTCCTCCTAATCCCCATCCTTCTAATCCTCCTCCTCCTAATCCCCATCCTTCTAATCCTCCTCCTCCTAATCCCCATCATCCTCCTCCTAATCCCCATCCTTCTAATCCTCCTCCTCCTAATCCCCATCCTTCTAATCCTCCTCCTCCTAATCCCCATCATCCTCCTCCTAATCCCCATCCTTCTAATCCTCCTCCTCCTAATCCCCATCCTTCTAATCCTCCTCCTCCTAATCCCCATCATCCTCCTCCTAATCCCCATCCTTCTAATCCTCCTCCTCCTAATCCCCATCCTTCTAATCCTCCTCCTCCTAATCCCCATCATCCTCCTCCTAATCCCCATCCTTCTAATCCTCCTCCTCCTAATCCCCATCCTTCTAATCCTCCTCCTCCTAATCCCCATCATCCGCCTCCTCCTAATCCTCATCCTAATCCCCATCCTCCTCATCCCCATCATCATACTCCTAAGACCGGAACCTACCCCCCCATCCCCCTCCTCATCCCCATCATCATACTCCTAAGACCGGAACCTACCCCCCCATCCCCATCATCATACTCCTAAGACCGGAACCTACCCCCCCATTTCCCTCCTCATCCCCATCCTCCTCCCCCATCACCATTCTTCTCCTAATCCTCCTCCTCCCAATCCCCATCCTCCTCCCTTACAATCCCCAGTCAGAGGTAGGGAGTGAAGACCGGAACGTACCCCCCATAGAGGAGAGCCATGTCTGAGCCGCCATACTCCCGGGAACACCTCAAACTCAATTCACAAAGCTGACCCAGTGCCAGAAGGATCCTTGTTTGTGAATTGGGTCCTCGGCCATCGGGAGGAGGACACCCCCGCTGATGGGATATGGAGGTGGGCAGTGTTGGGGTGCACTGATCCCCCAGACAAGGTCTATATAGTCTCCAGAGTGGGGGTGACGCCATCCCCGTACATTTCCCTCCACCTAATTGTACCGTACAGGACACAGGCAATTCATAGCAGGCTGGGTAACATGCCCATCAGGTGATTGGACAGAGCTGTGGGATCCTCCTATAACCCCTCCCCCCTCCTGGAGATCCTCCTATATTTTTTTTCTACTAATGCCCTTTGGTGATTGGATGTCTTCTGGGCTAGTAGGGATCTATGAGGACACTGGAAGGCTCGGTGAAGTAGGCGAGGAAGGATCATGGGAGGAGAGGCGGGACACAGCCAGGGAGACCAGATTGACGAATCGCAGGGACAGAAGGTAAGAAACTCTACAAATATCTCCACCCCACAGAGAGGAGACCTCCACCACCCGAGGTCCTCACCGCTGTGCCCCATCCCCCCATGATACCGGCATATTACCCAGTCGTCTCTGAATTGCCTGTGTCCTGTGCTGCACCGTCATGATCCAGATTGTACTGGCGAGTCAAACATCCTCTCCGGTGCTTCCCTCCCGAAATGTTCTGGTGGCCTTTCTCCTTCTCCGCCCCCCCTCCCCCTCCATGTTGTCTTATGACCCCCCACTGACCTGCGTGCCATGAGGAGATAACGGTCCGCCGGGGCCCCCAGCCCAATATTCAGGGCCCGGACCGTGTTAAGATTCCGGAACACCAGCAGCATTGGGCGCGGCAAAGCTCGAAGGACTCTCATGATGTCATCAAAATGCTCCTTGGCCATATCCTGCATGTACTGCGTCTCCTCCCGCGTCAGGGTGTTCCCCAGCATTCCAGTGAGGGAGAGCGGCCGCTGCAGCAGAATCTCACAGAACAGGAAGTAATCTGGAGAGAGAAACCAGATCCCGCTATGGTCTGCTCTGATTGGTGGAATCTGGGCCATACACCAATGAGACAACGTCATCCACAGATAATACACAGGCCAGCGGTGGACCCGGGGGGCGGCCCCAGGCGGTGGACCCGGGGGGCGGCCCCAGGCGGTGAGCGCAGCGATTGCCTGACACAAACCTTTCACGCCGAGCTCTGCCGAGTATTCCGCCATGCCCGGATGGTTCCTCAGAACGATGGACCTCCAGAGTTTACACAGCGCCGTGCGATCCCTGCAACGATGAGTACCAGTTACCGCGCATCATAAAAGTCTGCCACACACAGGAAGTGATGAACACCATTCTGTGCACAAAGTGTGACACAGGAAGTGACACCAACACACCGCGTTACCTCTGACTTAGGAACTCGTACAGTCCGTGGTCCAGGAGAACCAGCCGCGCTTTCCCGTCCAGCCCAACATTCACCAGAACTGCAGACAGAGGAGCCACCAACCACATCAGTACAATCATTATGGGGGGCACAGGGGTCATGTGACTACAATCATTATGGGGGGCACAGGGGTCATGTGACTACAATCATTATGGGGGGCACAGGGGTCATGTGGGTCATGGGACTACAATCATTATGGGGGGCACAGGGGTCATGAAACTTGATGCCATTCCCCATCATGGCTCTGTGATCCGGCCCCTGGCCCAGCACTGGGAGGGATATTCGGGTCGGCTTCGGTCTGACTCCTGGCACAGATTTTGGCACACAATGTACAGATGACAGATCCCACTTCAGACTCTTATGCCCCGCCCCCCGTTCATGTAATCTGTCAGTGCTACGGAGCCGCGGCGTGTTACCATTGCCGGGGGGGCGGGTCGGCGTGTTACCATTGCCGGGAGGGCGGGTCGGCGTGTTACCATTGCCGGGGTGCGGGTCGGCGTGTTACCATTGCCGGGGTGCGGGTCGGCGTGTTGCCATTGCCGGGGTGCGGGTCGGCGTGTTGCCATTGCCGGGGTGCGGGTCGGCGTGTTGCCATTGCCGGGGTGCGGGTCGGCGTGTTGCCATTGCCGGGGTGCGGGTCGGCGTGTTGCCATTGCCGGGGTGCGGGTCGGCGTGTTGCCATTGCCGGGGTGCGGGTCGGCGTGTTGCCATTGCCGGGGTGCGGGTCGGCGTGTTGCCATTGCCGGGGTGCGGGTCGGCGTGTTGCCATTGCCGGGGTGCGGGTCGGCGTGTTGCCATTGCCGGGGTGCGGGTCGGCGTGTTGCCATTGCCGGGGTGCGGGTCGGCGTGTTGCCATTGCCGGGGTGCGGGTCGGCGTGTTGCCATTGCCGGGGTGCGGGTCGGCGTGTTGCCATTGCCGGGGTGCGGGTCGGCGTGTTGCCATTGCCGGGGTGCGGGTCGGCGTGTTGCCATTGCCGGGGTGCGGGTCGGCGTGTTGCCATTGCCGGGGTGCGGGTCGGCGTGTTGCCATTGCCGGGGTGCGGGTCGGCGTGTTGCCATTGCCGGGGTGCGGGTCGGCGTGTTGCCATTGCCGGGGTGCGGGTCGGCGTGTTGCCATTGCCGGGGTGCGGGTCGGCGTGTTGCCATTGCCGGGGTGCGGGTCGGCGTGTTGCCATTGCCGGGGTGCGGGTCGGCGTGTTGCCATTGCCGGGGTGCGGGTCGGCGTGTTGCCATTGCCGGGGTGCGGGTCGGCGTGTTGCCATTGCCGGGGTGCGGGTCGGCGTGTTGCCATTGCCGGGGTGCGGGTCGGCGTGTTGCCATTGCCGGGGTGCGGGTCGGCGTGTTGCCATTGCCGGGGTGCGGGTCGGCGTGTTGCCATTGCCGGGGTGCGGGTCGGCGTGTTGCCATTGCCGGGGTGCGGGTCGGCGTGTTGCCATTGCCGGGGTGCGGGTCGGCGTGTTGCCATTGCCGGGGTGCGGGTCGGCGTGTTGCCATTGCCGGGGTGCGGGTCGGCGTGTTGCCATTGCCGGGGTGCGGGTCGGCGTGTTGCCATTGCCGGGGTGCGGGTCGGCGTGTTGCCATTGCCGGGGTGCGGGTCGGCGTGTTGCCATTGCCGGGGTGCGGGTCGGCGTGTTGCCATTGCCGGGGTGCGGGTCGGCGTGTTGCCATTGCCGGGGTGCGGGTCGGCGTGTTGCCATTGCCGGGGTGCGGGTCGGCGTGTTGCCATTGCCGGGGTGCGGGTCGGCGTGTTGCCATTGCCGGGGTGCGGGTCGGCGTGTTGCCATTGCCGGGGTGCGGGTCGGCGTGTTGCCATTGCCGGGGTGCGGGTCGGCGTGTTGCCATTGCCGGGGTGCGGGTCGGCGTGTTGCCATTGCCGGGGTGCGGGTCGGCGTGTTGCCATTGCCGGGGTGCGGGTCGGCGTGTTGCCATTGCCGGGGTGCGGGTCGGCGTGTTGCCATTGCCGGGGTGCGGGTCGGCGTGTTGCCATTGCCGGGGTGCGGGTCGGCGTGTTGCCATTGCCGGGGTGCGGGTCGGCGTGTTGCCATTGCCGGGGTGCGGGTCGGCGTGTTGCCATTGCCGGGGTGCGGGTCGGCGTGTTGCCATTGCCGGGGTGCGGGTCGGCGTGTTGCCATTGCCGGGGTGCGGGTCGGCGTGTTGCCATTGCCGGGGTGCGGGTCGGCGTGTTGCCATTGCCGGGGTGCGGGTCGGCGTGTTGCCATTGCCGGGGTGCGGGTCGGCGTGTTGCCATTGCCGGGGTGCGGGTCGGCGTGTTGCCATTGCCGGGGTGCGGGTCGGCGTGTTGCCATTGCCGGGGTGCGGGTCGGCGTGTTGCCATTGCCGACTGCACATTACAGCAGCATGGAGGGGGATTGCTGCACACTACAGCAGCATGGAGGGGGATTGCTGCACACTACAGCAGCATGGAGGGGGATTGCTCTGTCCATAGAATTCCCCACCCACACATCATGTACCCTCCTGGGCCCCGATTGTCTCCCCCCCTGGAGGTACGAGGGTCTTCCATGCGCCCCCCTCACCTTGCTGGTGAACTTCCAGTGTACGTTGGGTATCAGGACGTAGAGGAGATATTTAAGATCCTGCGCACATCGCTCTGCGTTCCGCCCCTCGTTCTCGAAATCCAGTTCCTGCGCCAGCGTGTGCTTCAGATCCTACACGAGGGCAAGGAGGAGAGAGAAGAGGGGTGGGCGGAGGCAGGGGGAGGAGACAGCTCAGGAAGTGGGCGGAGGCAGAAGGAGGAGACAGCTCAGGAAGTGGGCGGAGGCAGAAGGAGGAGAGAGAAGAGGGGTGGGCGGAGGCAGGGGGAGGAGACAGCTCAGGAAGTGGGCGGAGGCAGAAGGAGGAGACAGCTCAGGAAGTGGGCGGAGGCAGAAGGAGGAGACAGCTCAGGAAGTGGGCGGAGACAGCTCAGGAAGTGGGCGGAGACAGCTCAGGGCTCACCTTCAGAACCCAACTGAAGCCAAATTTGGGATGCATGAACTCAATGAGCCGGAGGAGCCGTTCCAGAGTCCGGATATCGCCATCGAAGCGCTCCCGGAGATCAATGTACTGGACCTGCAGAGACCATCAGCCAATGGGGGGGAAGGGGGCGTGTCTTCACATTATACACATCATCCAACTGGGGAGGGGGAGGGGTTACGTACATAATATATACTTCATCCAATGGGGGAGGGGTTATGTGCATAATATATACTTCATCCAATGGGGGAGGGGTTACACGTTATGAATACATTATCTTCTTCATCCAATGGGGGAGGGGTTACACGTTATGAATAAATTATCTTCTTCATCCAATGGGGGAGGGGTTACACGTTATGAATACATTATCTTCTTCATCCAATGGGGGAGGGGAGTTGGGCGCGCTCACCTTCACGGCCACCTCGGTACCGTCATGGAGGGTGGCGCGGTGCACCTGGGCTAGACTCGCCGCCGCCATCGGTTTTTGGTCAAATTTTCGGAAGAGCTTCTCGGCGGGTTCACCAAAATCTTCCCGGAAGATCTCGTCCACCTGCGGCACAGCCAGCAAACTATCACAGGTTAGGCCACGCCCCCATGCGGGCCAATGGGAGAGCGGCGCGATGGAGGGTCCCAAGGTGAACTCTAACAGGCTGCCTTCCCCCATGTGACCTTATTCTGCCCAATCACCAGGCAGCAGATATCTCTATGGGGATATGGGGGGGGAGGAGTCTTGGGGGACCAACCAGATACAACTCCTCCAGCGATTGTGATTGGCCGGCTGGGAGTCAGGACACGGACAGGCCCGGGATGGCTCATCTCTGACCACCCCTCCCCCCCCCCACTCAACAGGCCAGCCCCCCCCCAATGACGGCCG